GCTCACAACCCCCCTTATACAAGGAGATGTTAGTGTCTTATAACCATGATAATATAAGAGCGATAATATGATCATTTGCGTCTTCTCCTAGTGTTGAGATTGAAGTGGCCAAGCTTCTTTCTCAACTAAGCTTAATATGGTTTAATAGAATAACCATTAACCTCTTGAGATTTTATCAGGTTGGTCTTCTAACCTATGGTTTTATAACCGGTTAACCATGAACCTATCAGTAATATCATTAATATTGATGATCCTAAACCTTCTAATGAACAAGGATTTATAATAGCCTTAAGGGAAGCTCATCAACATTAACAATCTTCAACCTCAAGAACATGAGACTTATCACTCAAATCCCCAACCAAAGCTTTTACCGGGTTTAGCTTTGAACCACATGATTTTTTCCTAAACATTGATAATGTTCGTCATGGTAAATCAAGAACAATCTTGAAGAACTTCATACATTTCTACCCATCCAGGATTACAACATCTCATCATTCACATAAAAATTATTTCCTTACAAAAGCATTTGGTTATATGAACTAGTGAGAGAAAGTGACAGAAAAACATAGAGAGAAAGAGTGTCTGTGTGTGTGTCTCAATACACATTCGAGTTCTGGATAATTTGAACCGAGGAATGAGACCTCTATTTATAGGGTTCAAATCCTCCAAAAGAGGAAACATCATAAATTAATTTTCTATCATTACTAATTGATTGGAGCAATCGATTAAATATTTTAAACATAACAGCTAAGTTTTCCAAAATAGGTAAGAAGAGATATTTAGTCGTTGCTAATCATTTGGGTACTCTCAAAATGCCTTTATCTTCAAATACGCACTAATCTAATCGATTAAATTTAGTCAAAATTTTTTTATGGCTTTTTGAATGTTCCTATACTTTTTAGGCAACTTCTATATATTTCTTCAAAGGTATTTCTTTTCAAAATCATTTTATAAAAAGTTTTTAAGTGTGTGTGTGTGTGTGTGTGTGAGTGTGTGTGTGTGTGTGCGCGCTTATAGCCAATACTTCTATAAAGAAATAACTTTTGCTTTCAAAAGTTTCACTCACTTACTAAATTGGGATACCTCTCTTGAGCCAGAGTCTGATGTATCTATTGTGTTGAACTTTGCTCTGATATGTTTATTGAAGCTCTGTTTTTCTTCTCTTGTCTGATCATGTTATTGAGCTTTGTGTATTTGCTTCAGTTATTTTATTGAGGCTCTTGATATGATTTCTTCATCTGAATGTTTTTGTCTGAGGTCTTTGAGACTTTCTCAATCCTTCAAACCTATGGCTTTCATCTTTGACTGCTTGATTTAATTTGACTTGGTACATTGACTTTCTAAAGTGATTGCATCTTTTACTATACCGAATGCTCTTTCATTGCTCTTCTATATTAGTCACCGTGTTGCATCTTTATCATGCTAATTTTATGTTGTGTTATCTCATTGTATTTTTCTGCTTTTGCATCTTTAATATGATGAATAACCTTTATGAACTTTCTACAATTGTCATCGTCAAAATAACACCTGTTATCTGCAAAACAAGGTTCCATAGTTGGAAGGTGACTATGTCCTCCTTAGTTTGTAAGAGGAATGTGCAATACAAGATTTTAGGTGGAATGAGATTCAGTTTTGGAGCTTGTTCTTTGTATCGCTAGTTCCATGGCCTCTCTACAAACTAGTGGAGAATGTATTGGTTGTAAGGTTTACCAAAGTTATAGATAATCTTATTTTTCCTAATCAATCAGTGTTTCTCAAGGGTTACCTTTTGTTAATGGTGTTATTGTTGTAAATGAACTAGTTGAACTTGCTAATAAAACCAAGAAAGATTGCCTCATTTTCAAGGTTGAACTTGATAATAAAACTAAAAAGGATTGCATCATATTCAAGGTGGATTTTTAAAAGGCAGACAACTCTGTTAGTTTGTCCTTCCTAGATTATATGCTTGTCAAATTTGGCTTCTCTACTAAATGGTGATATGGTATTTAGGCTTGTGTGTTTTCTTAGAATATGGCTATTCTAGTTAATAGGTTTCCAACCGAGAAGATTAGAATATATAAGGGAGGTGAGACGGTGAACCAAGGAGACTCGTTAGCCCCCTCCCTCATCCTTTTGGTGGAAGAAGGGCTCAATATCCTTTTTAGACGAAATATGAGTTTAGGTAATTTTTATGGTTTTAGGATATGTTCCTAGAATTTAGTCATCTCTCATCTTTAGTATGTCGATGATACTCTAATCATTGTTTTGGAGAATATTGAGAATGTAAGGGTTATTAAGGCTATTAATTGGGGTTTTTAGTTTGCTTATGGTCTTCATGTTAATTTTACTAAAAGCAGGTTCATTGGTGTTAACGTGGATCCTAACTTTTGGGAGTTAGCTTGTGATTTTATAAGTTGTTACCACAAATCTCTCCTCTTCAAGTACCTTGGCCTTTTTGTGGGAGCTAATCCCCATCTAGAGATATCTTGGAAACCTCTTATTTCTCTTATCTCTAAGTGGTTGCTCTATTAGAAATAAAGGTATATTAGTTTGGAAGGTAGTATGGTCCTCTTTTTTTGATGTTGAGTGTGATTCCTATTTTCTCCATGTCTTTCCTTACAATTTCTCTTAAGGCGTGCGAGAAAATTGTTAAGATTTAGAGGAGGTTCTTGTAGGGTGGGGTTAATGGTAAGGATAAGATTCCAATCACTCATTTATCAGATCAACCACCTCTTTATCGAATGTATCACCCTTTTGTTATACATCTCGCTCTTCTCTAGGTTAAGTCGCCCAATATGGGAACGAGTGACATGTCCTCAGAAGGTAAAAATGTTCACTCCTTAAGTGGTTTCTATTTCCAAGGAAGGCTAACATTCAGGCCTAAGTGGTTGAAAGAACCTAACTTTAACACTTAAGTACACACATACATAATTCCACACCCACGTGAGCTAGATCTCAAGCTCTCAACAAACATTAAAGCCTATAATAACCCTTAATCGTTAGGGTTTTTCACGCATTTGTACTTCTAGAAAGTACAAGTGTGCAAACAAATTATTAAGATTTAAAATAGATTCTTATGGGATGGGGTTAATGGTAATGATAAGATCTCATAGGTTAGATGAGTGGATGAGTGTAAACAAAAAAATGGTGGCAAGCTTGGAGTTTGTGATCTCTGTTTAATTAACCTGGCTTTGTTAGGTAAGTGGCGATTGCGACTTATTTTTTAGTCTAATGAGCTTTGGAGAGAGATCTTGATTGATATGCAAGGGGATCAAGCTACTTCTTCTTTCTTAGGGGTTAAAGTGTCTCAGATTCGATTAGTGTCTCCTTGGTGTAGATCAATATCTCTCTTAGGTTCTAAATCCAATGGTCCTTCTGATTGGTTTGTAGATGAGTTGAGGTACAAGGTGGGCTCTGGTCTGCTTACTTCTTTTTAGGATGACCAGTGGGTTAGAAATACTTCTCTTATAGTTACTTTCTTTAAACGGTTGCCTTTTTCTTTAGAAAAAAAAGGAAGGTGAGTGAAATTGGTAGGTGGATAGAAGGGTCTTTGGTTTGGAATTTCTAGTGTAAGAGATCTATTTTTGACTATGAGCAGAATTTGGTTGATGACATGCTTCTAGCTCTTCATGGCCCCACCTTGTCTTTACACTGTTGCATATGCCTATAATGTGCTTTTACGACTAGTTCTAACTTTAGAGAAATCGTAAGTAATCTAGATCAGATATTGACTTCCACCTGGTGCACTTAGACCTTCTTCTAAAGTGATTGTCTTCTCTTGGAAACTTCTCCAACATAAAATACAGTTTAGAGAGATTTTTCTTAAGAGACAAGTTATTCTCGACTTTGGTGGCCTTTCTTGTGGGTTGTGTGATGGGCCTATTAAGTTTGTCTCTCATTTGTTTGTTATTCGTAATGTGTCACATAGTCTTTGGCATTATAGTTTTTAGGTGGTTTAGTGGGCCAATGATCTTTCCAGGTGATATAATCTTGTATTGGGGGGCTTGACTAGGGCCAAAGGAGGGCTTACTATAATTTTATATTCGACATAATGAACTATTTGGAGATCTCAAAATGACTTCATCTTTTAAAGTTTGCTGATTAGTGGAAAAGAAATGGAAGATAAAAGCATCTATTTCTTCTGAAAATGATATGTCTTGGTAGATTGTCGGCTTATTCTAATTCTTTTTCTAATTGATTTGCGAACCCTATCCACTATTTTGTCCTATAATAGTTTGAGAGTGTGATATGATTATCTTGAGAGGTTTGATTTTTAATTAGATCGAGAAGAATGTTACTCCGTCGATGATGATTCCCTTTCCAAATTTCAATTTTTTTTTTACTTCTTATTATGCCGTTTGTATTCTCTATTTATACTTGATTTTTATTGAACTAGTCTTCTTTGAGAATTCGGCTTCGCTCCATTATGCTCCATTTAATCCATTGCAAAGTATAGATATATGACATGCGTAAGAAAACAAATCAAATAGCAGTTAAACAATCTTGTAAAATCTAAGAGCACATTCCAAAGTATAGATATATGACATGCGTAAGAAAACAAATCAAATAGCAGTTAAACAATCTTGTAAAATCTAAGAGCACATTCCAATTTTTATTTTAGTTACAACTATTTGATTTGTTTATTTACATGATCTGTTATACATCTACGCATTAGAATAGAATAAACGGAATATTGATAAATAGAGCAAAGCCGGGGTCAAACTATGTGGATAATATGATTATTATTTGGCTTAAAAAAAGGTTTGAGTTGCAAAATACTCAAGACCAAAAATTGATTCTTTAGTTAAAAAAAACCCACGCGTTTCCAAAACTAGAACAACACAAGTAAATATCCCGCAACTTGAGTGGTCTCTTCGTTAACGTTATTATCATCTGGCGGCGATGGGTTGGTTCCAAAAACCCATCGTTCTTCGCTCATGAAACAACCGAAACCCTTCTCCTCTATCCTCTCTCACTCTCACACCAGATATTTTATTCCACAACAACCGTATCCACTTATCATGGCCCAAACCCGAACTTCTCCGGATCCAATCCAACCCGAAGAACACCCTGCCCGTAACCTAACCCTCACCGACACGCGCGTTCAACGCGCGTGGGCTCATTGGACCAACTTGGGTCGACCGAAACTGATAGTTGCTCCGATGGTGGATAACTCGGAGCTTCCGTTCCGGTTGTTGTGTAAGAAGTATGGTGCTCAGGCTGCGTATACTCCAATGTTGCATTCTCGGATTTTCTCTGAAACGGACAAGTATAGAAAAGAAGAATTCACCACTTGTAAGGTGGGTACTTAAGGTTTTTATATCTACAATTAGTGTTATTGTTATTCTAGTTTTGTTGTGACTTTTGGAATTTTTTAGGAGGATCGACCACTTTTTGTTCAATTTTGTGCTAATGATCCTGATGTGTTGTTGGAAGCTGCACGTAGAGTGGAGCCTTATTGTGATTACGTTGATATTAATCTTGGGTAATTTTTTTGTTTGCATTTTTCATTGTGTTTTGCTATTCACTTGATTATAATTAAAAATCTGTTTCAATTTGTGGTTTCTGTTGCAAAATGGAATTCAAAATATATGTGAATACATGATGTGGGAGCATTGGTTGCATTTGTTTGATACACTAGTTGGTATTGGTATCAATGAAGCACTCTTACACACATTTGGCATGCCAATGAAAGTAACTTGTAGACACTAGTATTAACTTTAGAAAATGAAAGTGATTGAATGTAACCGCACGTGGTATCATGTTGGACATTAGACACACTTTTAATTTGAAGTGTTAGTGTTGCATAGACAGCTATACTGCAAATCCTTTGTTACTCCTAGGCTGAAATTTTTGAAGTTCTATTTTATGCATATTGTAGCATTTTGATGGTGTAACGCCTATAGTAGAGAAGATGATGGAAAATAGACTTAGATGTTATGGACATGTAGAGAGAAGACATATAGAATATGTTGTAAGGAGAGTACGTTAGATGGAGAGAAGTCGAACAATTAGAGGAAGAGGAAGACTTAGAAAGACTATAGGAGAAAGTTATTAAGAAAAATATCGAAATTGACGATTTGGATAGAAGCATCGTCTTGATAGAATATTATGGAAAAAGTTGATCTATGTAGTCGATCCTACTTAGTGGAATAAGGCTTGGTTGTTGTTGTAGCATTTTGATGTGTATTGTGGGAAGTGGTGAATGATCCATGCAATAAAAGTGGCACGGTTGACCAATGACCTAGTTCCCTAAGCATGTGGTCTAGTGTAAACTAATGTGTGTAGAAAAACATCTGTATATAGATATTATAGAGAGATCTCAGTCCCTTAAATTGGTCTTTGTACCTTGAGGGATTAGTCCCCGCCAGAGGATACCTTGAATGCACAAGTAAAGTGTTACACTCCCTCATTTCGGTTATGGTCTTTACATAAATACTAAGAAAAGCAATAAATTGGCTGATAGACATAGTATAAGTATGACTTTCTTAAACAAAAATTCAAGAGCTTTTTGGTATTGCTCGACAATGTGAATGCTCTATCTCTTTTGGATGTTACCTTTTTGATTACTGTAATTAAAGTTTTTGTGGATTTATTTTCATATTTTGTGATTCTATAGGTGTCCTCAGCGCATTGCAAAACGAGGAAACTATGGTGCTTTCTTGATGGATAACCTTCCTCTTGTGAAATCTTTAGTGGAAAAACTGGCTCTCAACCTCCAAGTTCCTGTTTCATGCAAGATTAGGCTCTTTCCAAAATTAGACGACACATTGAAGTATGCTAGGATGCTCGAGGAGGCTGGTTGTTTTCTTTTAGCTGTTCATGGGAGGACGAGGGACGAAAAGGACGGGAGTAAATTTCGAGCAGACTGGAAAGCCATCAAGGCTGTGAAGGAAGCAGTCAGAATCCCGGTCCTTGCCAATGGAAACATAAGACATATGGATGATGTTAAAGACTGTATTGAAGCGACTGGTGTTGAAGGGGTACTTTCTGCTGAGACTCTACTAGAAAATCCAGCCCTCTTTGCTGGATTTCGTACGGCCGAATGGGTTTCCGGATGTGAAGGAGACTTTGTAGATGGGAAGTTGGATCAGGCAGATCTGTTAATAGAGTATTTGAATCTCTGTGAAAAGTACCCTGTGCCATGGAGAATAATACGCTCTCATGTTCATAAATTGTTGGGAGACTGGTTTAGCCTTCAGCCTCACATCAGGGAAGATTTTAATAAACAATATAAAATTACATTTGAGTATCTTTACGACATGGTCGATCAACTTAGGGATACAGGTACTAGAATTCCACTTTATCTCAAACGTACTGAAACGGAACCTACAGACACAGATCAACACAGCTAGCTTCGAATGACCTATCCGAGGGTTCAAAGTTAAACCAGAACTATCAAAGTTAAACCAGAACCATATTGAAATTTGGTCTGCGAGCGGCGGTTCTGCCGAGCAAAGCAAGCATGTCTACACACTTATTTACAATTTTGTAACAATTAGAAATTATATTGGTCCAAATCACTTGTTTCATTTTCATAAGTATTTTTTGTATTGTATTTGACTTCATTCTTCTTATGGCAATTGCCTATTGGCAGCGGTGTTGCACACATAACTGTCAAAACGGGAATTCTTTTTCTGAGCAGACAAATTTTTATGTTCATCTGTAACATTTCATAGGTTATATTGGTGTATGTTTCTGTCCACTTCAACAAATCGATAATACGACTGTCTGTTCAACTTTATCATTTCATAGCTTGGATTGGTGTATGTTTCATCCGTACCGTATATTTCTCTATTACACATTGTAATACACTAAAGCAGGGTCAAGCTTAATAATAATAATATATTTGGATGATATAATACAAGACTGAAATGTGAATGTCCCAGGTTTAGTCTAGGAACTGAAATTGTTCTCAGGGCATAACTTTTATAGAGTAGAGACATTGATATACATCAAATGCTTGATTTTGACCTGGCTTTATTCTTAGTAGATATATGGACATGAAAGGAGATAGCTTAATAACCAGATACTTAAGTAATTATTCATTACAAAGAGGAAGAACAAAGTCACTCCTCCACAAAGTTTGTGAGGACCTTCTTGACTAGATGCTCTCCATAGACTGCTCTTTCAAACCTCTTGTCGCCATTTGACCTTGTTTTATATGTATCCAATGGCTCTACCGCAGTATCAAAGTTCGGCTGTGCATGCAGCAGTGAAAAATCATATCAGCAACTTAAAAGACGAGTAAAAATGAAAGATACAATTTGGGACTAACCTTGTAAAAATATACTATGCTGACTCTATATTTTGAGGAGTTGTTTATCACCCTATGCAAAGTTGACTCGTACAAACCGTTGGAGTATATCTGCAGTTATATATCTTCCACACTTAATCAACTGATCGTCAAATCTCAGATGATATTTAAGCGTAAGATACCTTGAGCATGTCACCAATGTTGCACACAAATGTCCCTGGAACTGGAGGTGCAGATATCCATTTGCCTGATAGGTTTTTTACCTATCAGTTTGACAACATAAACACAGTAACGAAAACGGTATCAAACAAGAAAGTAAAAAAGAAGATAACAAAATACCATAAAGAAGGGAAGAACTGTTGCATGCAATGCAACAAATAACTGAGTAAGGGTATCTGTTAAACAGAAAGGAACAATATATTGCAAACCTGAAGTGCGTTTATATCGTTATCTTGGTTCAACAATGTCAACAAACCTATTAAGCAGGGCAGCACCTAAAATCATTGCCAAGGACTAAAACAATATTCTAGACTTATCATAATGTAAAGTTTAAGATTTATATATGTATACCATAATCTGTGTGAGCTCCACTGGATTTGTTTTGATTGAAAGAAGCACAGAAGAAAAAAGGAGCAAAAAGGAAAATACAGCATCAATAATGTAAGGTCTAACAAAAAGAGGAAGAAAAAAAAGCAAAAACACGTAAGAGCTTCATGTTCTGGATTGATCTCATTACCACCCAATGTCATTTACAGTGGATACACCAGGGTAACCAATTACACGCATATACCAAAATGAATCACCAGCTCTACCACCTTCAAATTCATACGGTGATCCACCTAATGCTAAAGCAATTCCACGCATAATTTTCCTCGCAAGATCTGCTCCAACCAAAAGAACAACATATGAGAAAAACACCTTTAATCAGAGGAACTTGACTTGATGAAAAAGCTTAATAGGATACAAGAAACCATGCCTTTGCAGAGACTAATATATTCCTCCATAAGAACTTTAAACTTTGGAGGATTTTGTGGCCTGCATTAAGAATGTTCTTAGTTAATCAGGCCTTTTTGATTCGAATCATACTACAATTCAGAGAATCCTATTTCATCATACCACTCGTTGGATCCTTCCATAACTTTGCCAAGATCTCCATACATGCCTTTAGTCACTTCCCTATAGCACTGTTAAGTGATAATAAAAATATCATTTATAAGAAGCAGAATGTCTCTTTAGGGAAAAAAGATATCTATTATATAAGAACACAGTAGAAACACAGACAACTAATTTTATGTGAATCAACAACTGAGGCTTACATCGATAGCTTCATGCATATCAGGTCTACCTTCAGTCATATTTTCTCCAATCTTCTCATATCCTCTGCATCACAAGAAGTTAGGCTGGTATTAGAATAGATTGATGGAAACAAGTACTCATGAGATAGTTATATACAAAGAACACCTGAACCCATTTGCCGGAGTCATTTTGATCTTAGCCTTTTCTTCGTACGGAAGTTCAAAGAATCTACGCGTTATATCTCTAACCCCTTTGAGAAGTGTATCTGGAACACCATGGCCTTTCTGTCCATCAAAGGGCCACAGGGATTAAAATTAATATCAAATACAAATTGGTGTCAGTAATCCATAAAGATGAACCTCTTTGATATAATGCAGATACTTACCAATTTTATCTCATAATTCTAGAAAAAATAGCAAATAAAGTTAAAGGATGGAAGAACTAGTTACCACATAAAAGAAGCCTGCTTCACTACAAGCTTTATCTAATTGTGCAACAACTTCAAGTACTCCAGGGTCTTGAGCCATTTTGGGGTCATCTGATTTGGCTAATAGGGGACTAATATCTGCATCAAACAAACAGTATGAATAAATTGCTGAATCCTTACAAAATGATTATCATCATCATAGAGAATCCAATTATAACATGCTTTAGTTCTAGTAATAATAGTAATATAATATGATATAGTAAACAAGAGTATATATATAATTATATATGTTCACTACAAAATCTCATGAAAACTAAAATCATCAGGGTGTGTAAGCATGTGAGATATGTGATCATACACACAAAAGGATGTGAAATTAAGGAGAATTGTGATAAGAATGGGAAAGAGTTGAATTACCAATTATGGGGATGTAGCTAAAGTCCAAAGCCATAGGTGGCGGCGATTAGAATTAGATTATGTGTGGATTCTATAGAAGGGAAACAAGTTCTTATTGTTGTTGTTTATTACTCTATCTTGTTGTGATGCATTCAGAGTTATTCAGGAGGAGACTCGTGTGACTCAATTCTGCTGTGTTGTTTTGTTTCATTTCATTATTGATTGATGGATGGATGAACATAACTAATGTTGTTGTCTTTAAGGAAAGCCTACTCACTGCATGGGGACCTCACTCCATTAGACCATCTCCAATCTCCAATGGTGCAACTCATCTCTGAGAACTCTTTACGATTTATTAAATCACATCATCATAAAATAACTCATCTAATTTTTACTTCAATGATACAATTCAAAAGAAATTATATTAAGTCTCACAACTTTATTTTATATATTAATATTTTATTTATATTATATAAAATTTAGTTTTAAATATATTTATTAGAGTCCATTTAACCTTAACAATAATAATTTGAAATAAAAGATGAATATTTAAGTAAAATATATGGTGAACTGAATACTAATAAAAAAATTGCGAGAAAAAAATTTAAAATATTATGAATACATTAATAAAATTTTACGAGAGAAATAAAAAGGAAAAAACACATTAAAGTGACGTTATTAAAAAGCTAGTGGTCCTTTTATTATTATTTTATTGAAAACTACTGTTGCAATGCATTACAACATTTGTTAGTATGACGAACTTCAACGGTAGATTTTCCTCATACAATGGTTAACAGGTGGCAAACTCAAAGAAGAAACAAGCTGTTAGAGATGGTCTTAAATATAATAACTAGCACACAATCACAAAAAATCAATAATTAATGTATTTTATTATGTTTATTTTTCTGTATTATTAACGAATTAATAGTTAAGGTTATATTAAAATTTGAAAATAAAATTAAATAAAAAATAATTTCCTATATGCAAAAGGCCATTTGAAAAGGAATTGAGAGAATAATTATAAATAGTAAGTGTTTTTAATGAGGTTGCTCACTACCCAGTTTGGTTTGGTTTGAAAGTAAAGAAATTATCATATCCAAGTAGGAATTAATGATATATAATGAACTATTGTATTTGACTTTTTTTCCTTATGCTTTTATGTTTTTAGAATATCATGATGAATAGTTAAATATTTATTTAGGAGAGATTATGAGGATAATATGAACGTGAGGTGTTTAAGTTCTTTAGGTTTAATATATATTTTATTTCTTTAATTTAATATAATGTTTGTTTTAGTTTATTAATTAAAAAAAGTTTTAAGTTAGTTCCTTAATTTCATTTTTGTTATTTTATTTGGTCTCTTTCGTCAATTTTTATTTCTAGTAAAAAATTAACTTCTGGTGTCATCGATGTACAACAAGACTAAGGTCTAAATATGACTTAATATTTGTACTATAAAATAGGATTTCTACTTAATGTAGTCTTATTGTGACCATCTTAATGACACCTACTTAAGTGGAAGTCCTACTTTATAAAACAAATATTGAGTCACATTTGTATTTTGAGCTTTGTTGTAGATCCATATCTTTAAAAACTTAACGGTTTTATCCAAAAATTAATGGAATGGGCCAAATAAGATAACCGAAGTGAAGATAAAGGACTAACTAGTAATATTTTTTAGTTAAAGGACTAAAGTGGAATATTAAATTACGTTCAGGGACTTGTAGACTAAATATGCCTATTCTTTATCTATTATTAGACAATAGTCATATTTTTTTCTTCTAATTTTAGAGTTTACATGTTATATTCCCACTTCTTATAGGAATTTAAAGTCAAAGAGATATTAATACGATTATGATTACAGAAGGGGTTTAAACATATTTTCAACATAGGAAACAAAAATTGGGAGGAATTAAATTAGAGAGCTTCAAGTACAATTCACATGTCTTTAAATAATAATATTCTTGCAAATGTTTTTG